TCTTTATCCGTCGTGGTCACAGTGGGGCTGGTGCTATTTTTTCAGCAGTCTATAGGCAAAAACCACACCCTGGACAGGTCACCAGTCTATTAAAGGTGGTTTGAAGTTGATGATGACATTTGCTGAGTGGTTATGTAATGCTGAAAACAAAAATGGTCCAATATTCATAAACTGAAAAACACAATATGAGATGAATGCCATAGTAAACTGTCAGGAACTGTAGCTGTCAGGAAATAGATGCCAATGTGTTTAACTTTTGTATTTGAATGAAGCTGATGAAAAACATTGAAACAGAAGTACTTAATTCAAGTTACTTAGTGATTCAAGTTACTCAGGGGGTTTACTGCAGTGTCAAAGGAGGATGTGGAACAATTTTACATTCTTACAGTGATGGATGCATGAATCAAAAATGGGGTCAAGATTCACAGATAAATCCATTTGAAATCACATATCTTGTTTAAGTTTAATGCCTGGAACACCTTTAATAAAATAAATGCTAAGCGTTGCATGCTGCACTGTCAGTGCACCTACTATTAGTGCATGCTACAGGGCTCATCTCTGTCAATAGCTTATCAGTGACACTGTCCAGAGCAATTGTATTCCCCATTATCAGGAGTTCCTGTTAGAAGAAACCCATCTTAATTTGATCAGTGTCATAAGCTTGAATCACAGCTTATCCCTTTATGTGCAGAATTACAAATGGCCTGATTATAAAACTTTAAACAATGACAGTGCGAATTAACAGGCTAAGCATACACTAATGCTTTTGTACCCTCATCAATGATGTATAGGCAAGCTTTTCAGTGGTGGCCTTTTCTGAAGACCAAACCCCACCAGGGATAGAGGCAGGGATAGTATTGTTTGAAAAGGGAATCAACTGGTATTATAATGAGACTGATGTTCTTTGGCTTGAGCTAAAGTGCACAATTATCATATCACCGCTTAACTTTGAACAAGACTACCTATTAGCTTTGTCCTGAGCTTATGAATCTATATTTTCTTTTTGACAAAAGTATCCTAAAGGGACAGTGGAGCATCAATTTCTCCCTGAGACTTCAAAGAGGAACTCAAGGCCCCCACTGAGCCGAACAACTGCTGTGTTGCACACTGCAGCCAGGCATATCAAAGACTTTTTTTTACATTCATTTCTGTAATGAAATAACGGAGAGTACAAAGAGGACTCAATGGCTGCCCACCCTTTCTCCTCCCTGCTTTTTGGTCATGATTGTATGTAAGTATTACTCAGAGTCGAGGATAGCCTCTCCAAATTGGGACCCATATTGCAAGAGCCGGCTGAAGAACCATTCACATTAGGCGAGGGACAATGTGCTCATAATATCTATATTAGCCATGTCCTGTCTTAATTCACTTTTATTACATCCATTCATAATGCTCTCATAATGATGAGATGGATCCCAGCCAGGGGATTTTCACAGTGTCACCTTTATTATCACCACATACTGTGATTTGTCATTTGCTACTCTACAGGTCTCTGTAATGAGGATAGGTTAAGACTTCTCTGAATCAAATTAAGGGGATAAAATGCACCATGGTATATATTCTTTATCATTAGGCCTCTTCTTTTTAGGTGGTTCAAATACACTTAATGAGAAAGCTTTGGCTTATTTAACAAAAAAAAAAAAAAATCGGCTTAATATTGTTCTACCTAGTAGCCTTTAGGAGTGTTTCATGTTGGAGCAGTTGGAGCTTGTATTATTGTTGCTTGGTGTGATAGAATATGGTTCAAAGTGCACAAGGAGAGAAACCACTTTGTTACAGGACATGTAAACATTTATGTTGCAGGGCAGGAGGCTGTTTGTGGTTTCCTTTTGTGTGTGAGGGAACATTCGCTTGCCTCACTGTGGACAGAATTGGAGAAATGGGGAAGCAGTCGACTAAAGGGCAACATTAAAAAGCTGACTTTAAGTCAAACAATTTACACCAGTGGCAGATGTTGACATTAAGATGGAAGAGTTTTTAAGTGTCCATTAACTAATGGCATTAAGAAACAACCACTGGGCATGTCTTAATTTATTTGAGAAAGCAAAAACTCTTTGGAAACAGATGGAGAGGAAAGGAAACAAGACTTTCATAAACCAAACCTTTTTTAAGATTTATTTGACTCAATTAAGCACTGAATACATATGAGCTATTGCACCCATACACAAAAGTAGCTTCCTCTAAAGCAGGGGTGTCAAACTGGTTCCAGAAAGGGCTGTGTGGCTGCAGATTTTCTTACCAACCAAGCAATAACACACCAGACTCCAAGCATCTCATCAAGGGAGTCCAATCTGAACATGATGACTTGATGATATGAAAGAGGTCTGGTGTGCTATTGTTTGGTTGGAAAGAAAACCTGCAGCCACACGGCCCTTTCTGGAACCAGTTTGACACCCCTGCTCTAAAGGGTGGCTGTGCTCAGCCATGAGCATAGAGTGACAAGCTCTGTTATCTGGCAGAAACTTCAATTAGTTTGCTGCCTCTCTGCTTTAAAAATAGTAATCTAATAACTAAAAGTGCACGATTCATCCCCTCAGTTTATAGACATAAAAGATTTACCGTGATTAGAATTTTATATCCTTGGAATGTTCAAATAAGTGCTTATTATTTTCTTTCTTCAATATATTTCTCTTCATGTGCGTTTACATGTTTTTGCACCTGCCCAGACAAAGACGATCCATCCTCTTTAATACACTCCTGCTCTTCCTCTCTGAAAAGGGGGACCTTGACTGCGCCTCCTGAAAAGCTGATGCCTCGATGAATAGGAGGCCCCTGTCCTTACATTTCTGTGTCTGCTGCACTGATTGTGTACTAATGGCAGCATCAGTCCCCATCTGGTGTCTATCATTTGGATTCAGTGCAGAGCTTGTCCCAGCAGATACATCCGATTAGTCCATCTCATCGATTTGTGCTGGCTTGTCATGACTTAGTCAACCCAAGGTGTCTCTTCTATGACATGCTGTCTCCTTGTGATTTAGTTTGCCAACACTCTAAGTGCATTGAGTGTGACAATGAAATCTTTAATCTAATATGCATCCTAAGGAAGAAAGCGTTGGGTAATATGGGGGTTGGTAATGTTCTTCATGAGTTCATATGTAATGAAAAAGGCCTGTGTCAAGTTTATTAATGTACATAGCTCAGAGTTTTGAATGCAACAGTGGCTTTTTGATCTTGACTTATAAATGTGTGAGTTTGGGTGTAGCAGGTCATATTAAATAATTTGTCAAGAGAGATTTTTTTTTGTATTTATTTCATCCAATAAATAACATTAACTGATACTAAGTTTTTATTTTGGGGTTTTTATTGAAGCTAACTTGTGCTTTGGATTACAGTGTTATCCCTAGAAACAGACGCATGTTTTATACCTGATGATAAAATAATTTTTTCTCAAATGTAAGCCAATCTTATCTAACCAGACTTTTTTTTGTAAAGCGCAATTTACAGTGCTCAAAATACACACAACTTTTTATGTACGGCTGCAGTGGGGCCTGTGCCTATCTTCGGCAGCCTAAGCGCAGGCGGGGTGCTCCCTGGTCAGGTCGCCAGTCTGCCACAGGGCAAAACAGAGACACACAACAATGCAGACACACACTCACACCTAAGGACAATTTAGAGAGGCCAATTAATCTAACAGTAATGTTTTTGGACTGTGGGAGGAAATTCTTATAGGAAATTCAAATCTTTGAGAGACAAACTGTTTTAGGTCTATTTGCTCTGGATTTAATGCAGCTGAAACTATTTTCTTGATGGAAGTGGGTGGGGTACCTTTAGTAATTGGTTTGACCTTTTTCTGCAAGTCCCATTGACTGTGTCTAGATCTGGTAGAAGGCATCCGACAATCCCACTCACTATCTTCACTATCAGGACTAAATCCTTCCTACCTTGTGCCAGACAGCTTCCATACCACAACTTAATGCTGAGATTGAGGATGCTTTAAATCATGGTGCTGTAGAAGTGTCAATTCTTTCTGAGAAATAGGTGCTGTTGTTGGGTCTTCCTCACCACATGGGAGTTCCAATAGAGGTCAGAGTAAGCGTGAATGCCCAGGAACTTTACACAGCCATAAATTACACCACTTTCCAGTCTATGCAGAAATGAGCAAAGTCAGGTTTCCTGGACCTCTTGCAGTCTACTATGTCCTCCTTATGGTTACTGGTGTTCAGGATAAAAATAATTTAAACTTTATTGATCTCACACTAGAGAAATTTACCTCTGCAATTAACCCATCCCCTTGGGGAGCAGTGGGCTGCCATTGTGCAGTGCCCAGGGAGCAGTATGGGGTTAAGGTTTTTTTGCTCAGGAACCCAGAGTGGAGGCTGTGGGGATCGAACTGGGTACTTACAACCTTCTCAAAGCACAAGCGCACTGCTCTAACCACTAGGCCAACACACCCCAGCAAGGTTTTTCCTGGAAAACCACTGTGTCAGATTGTGGACCTCTTCTCTGTAGCAGGTCTCATAATTATTATATATGAGACCCTCTGGTGGATTTTGTCCATAAACCTCACAACTATGTCTGTTTTGTGGATAACAGAGCAGTGTAAAGAGAGTAGATGGGATTCCACCCACTGGCTGTATGTTTACAGTTTTTGCCCTGCTGGAAGATGAGAATCATCTCTCACGTCTGTTCCATAAAAGATATTTATACAGAGCACAAATGATTTTCTCGCTTGTAGTGTGAAATTCCCAAATCTCTCCAGAGTAATCATGGACCTCTTGGCTGCCTAGAACACCTCCTTGGGAGGTGTTCTGCAGGAAGGAGTCCCAGGGGATGACCCAGGAAATGCTGGATGGACTCTCGGCGGGGATGGGAGCACCTCTAGCTTTCCCCAGCAGAGCTGGAGAAAGTGTGTGGGGAGAGGGAGGTCTGGAAGTCCCTGCTGATTCTGCTGCCCCCACGACCCAGAACCTGATAGAGAGGAAGACGACAAGTACATGTTTGAGAATGAAGAGGTTAAAAAAGCATTACACTGAAAATCAGCAATTATTTGTCTTTTAAATTCACAATCGTGTCCTATTTGGAGTTAGTTTATCTTACAAAATCAAAACACCGTAACGTTTTAGGTAGGTAGACAGTAACCATTTTGCAAAAGACTGGAAAACATACTGTTAAAAGGTATGGTATAAGATCCCTGATTTATTCTTGTTCTAGTTCTCTCTACTTTAGTTTCTTTATTTGTTGGATTACAGCCCAGTCTTGTCTTGTACTTAAGAAAAGGGCTTATCAACTGTTTGAATGTGTTTGAAAGCCTTTCAATTTGCTTCTTTAAAAGGTTGCTGGACTCAGTTTCAGCCCATTAGGTAAACAGTTTGATTTCTCTTTTTTTCCCTTTAGATATTAAAGCCTCCTAAATTCAACTAATACCATGGTTCTGTGTCTATACATAATTACAGAACAACCGTGCTGAATTTCAGACACTGTCTATGCATTTAACTCCAACCTGTTACGGTTTATAAATGGAAAAGCAAACAACCACAGCCTTTGTGTTTATACCTTTTATGTGATTTAGTGATTATTTTTGCCCAGTATATGATTAATGAAAGTCACATCTATTGGCAGATGCAGGACATCTCCTTTCAAAAAGGTGAAAGTATAGTTTTAATCTATGCTTTGAAAATGTTTTTCTTTTTACATGCAGGTTATAGGATGTTAATTGGCAGAGATTTTCAAAAGCACCAATTCAAAGGGTTCCTTTCATGTCTGTAATTGCTAGTTGGTGTTCCCGAATCACCATTCTTATACCAGGAAAACAGAGCCGCATTTTATTCTACTTTAATGAGTAATTGTTATGATTTACTTACGTACTTCCTTTATCAGAAAAGAAAAGTCATTTTAATAAAAGTTAATAAATAAATTAATAACTTAATAATAAATTATCTCACCTGCCTGACACTAATTTCCCCCCATCCCATCCTCCCTCTGACCCTGGGTGGGTGCGCATGCTGATCACTAAATCTAAGAAGGGAGAAACCTCAGGCTTGAAGCCAGATCCTTGTCATTTTTGGCCAGAATGACTTCAATATATCAAACTCAAGCTCTTGATGAAGCCAGTTATCCTTTATCAAAGAGACATTACCAAAAAGTTTGACTCAAATCATAGTGTACTATAAAAATGTGAAGAGTTTAATTGCTTTATTGGGAATAAATGATTGCATCCATAAAGTGTGAGTTGCACTGTTTAATAAGAAGACATATAAATAAACATAGGGATATTAAAACGCAAAAAGCCCTAAAAGACTTTAGTGTTAGAAACTGTTATCTTCCTGCAATAAAATATTATACTTTTTATATTCGTTCTCATTAAACAGTCAAATAGAAAAGATGATGTTTTTTTCCTAATATAGAAACATACTTCAACTGCTCTGCTGAAATATCCAAATAAATAAAAATCAACAAATTGACACCTAGCCTGTAATAGGAAGTTGAGAAGAGGATGACAAATATTGGGAGAAACTGAATGCAGTTGGGGGTGTTTGCTGAGTGGATATTCAGTTGAACGTGAGTGTTATCAACTTTATTTTACTGCATGTGAGACAGAGATGAGGATAACCAGGAGAAGAATACAGACATGGCTGTAAAGTAGGTGTGAAAACAACCATGTCTACTAACCTCTGGGCTGACCTTCCCATTCCTCCACGCCTGGTGGCTGATAGTGTCTTTTCTCTTAAATGTAGGTTCTGCAGAGAAAAAGGGACATTTCCCAGAGTTTGTGTGGTGCGGCAGTAGTATCAGTGTCTAGTTGCAGCAAGAGCGCCCCTCCTGTCAGTGTGTGTGGTGATAGCTACAAGTGAGCAGTCCTCAGTTTACACAAGAGGAAGAGAACAGGTCAAGAGGATTATCTTGAAATATTAGCTCCCCTCTTAGCCTGACTTTGACTTTCCTTCTGTTTTTCTTTTTTGGTTTCTTGATGGCCAACAGCAGCCATCATATTGAAGACACAGTTGAAGTCTAAATATAACAGGATGTCATTCTGAAAGTATAACAAAGATAAATACCAAGATGTAAAATGGAACTTAAGATGTGCTCATAGAGTTTAGTTAAGACTGAGGATAATTTTGAATGCTCTCCTAACATGACCGAGAAGCAACTTTGTTTTTATTTTCATTTATTGATATTTTATTCAAGATAAAAAACAGACAAAATTGACTGGTTATACAAAGAAAATCAATAATGGTTTCAAAGCTTTATTTAAAGTTATTGTTTAATGCAACTAAAGTTTTTTTTAAACATCTCTTCTGCTTTCACTCACTAAAAACTTAATTTACGCTGTAATCTTTTTTTTTTTTTCAGAATTTAATAATTGGATCTACTAAAGTGATTTCCATACATTCTGTGTGTAATAATGTATCACTTGTTCTTTAAAATGTTTTTGAACAAGGTTTTAAGAAAACATTTAATCTTGCAACTAGATACCAGGCACATGTTTATTTCTAGTTTGAAAATAGAGTTAATGCTGATGCTAAACTAGTCAAACCTTATACTTGTTCCAAAAGGAAACTTTTAAACCACATTCTAATAACAGCTCTTAACTTCATGAGCATAACATAACTCAGTGGAGGGTTACTGAGAATTTTCTCTGCTGCCCTTGGCATTTAGCCATATTGCTTATATCAAAACAGCCACAGCATTAAATGCACAATATGCAAAGCATCAAATTAGTACCAAAACGAGCCTGCAGTCCAAATTCTGCTTTGGGTCTCTTTCCATGCTACGAGGCTTTAAATGAGTATTTCAACAACAGATGATCATAGCTTACTTTTGTCTAAGGCCGAATCAGTGATTCACAGCTACAGGGCTTTTAGTATACTGGAAGCCATCAGCGCGGCTTTTCAACACGGCTGCTCTGCAATAACCACATGGAGTCCTTGTGGCAAACCGCACACCTTCTTTTTGCACAAACAGACTTCAGGCTCAGGCTGTTACTCTGAGGTTTTGTTTCTTTTAAACAGTGACATCCATATTGACATCGTTTTTTTAAAGCTTAAATATGAATGGCAATATTTATTTATTTTTACCCGTTACCGTGTGCCGGCAAAGTAAAAAATATGGGCAATAACTTTAAATATTTTGACAACACAGGGGTAAATTATTTTTAAAAAATCAATACAAATATAAATACATAAAACATATTGGATAACATTGCTTTAAATAATAAATTTATAAGTCCACTAACTAAAAAAAATATATTTTTTTTTGTTTTAATCCAGTATGAAATAATATTTTTACAATAGCCTTATTCAAATAGATATACATTAAAAAAATTATAACTATAATAGAGGAAATAAATAAATATTAGCTGATAAGTGGAAAATGAGGTAATAAACTATGCAGGGCTAGAATATTTACAAATTTGATATTAATACATTTTTACTGAAGGTTCTGTTGCCTTCATTCCCCCCCCCCCTTTTTTTTTTTTTTTGTGCTGTGCCCAGTCCATTTGCTTGTAATTAAATAGCACCAAACGGAGCTTATCTGGTGGATCCTGTCAGTAGAGAATCTAAAAAGCGCTCCCTGACCTAAGAACCTCTCTCCTCTTCCCCCTTCCAGCTCTACCGTTCTCTAATTGAATTACCTCGACTTTAAAAAGTGGGCGGGGCTTATTCCCGTTGGAGTCACGCCCATTCAAATCGTCGCACACCAATGAGACTATCCCCCGCTCCACTGTAACCAAACCCACTCTCAGTCGGCGTCTGGAGCTTGCTTGGAGCTGCCATCTCTGTCCTCCTCCTCACTGAATCACTGGGTACCGGCGTTTCCCCCCCAAAACCCCTAAAAACTGAAGAAAAAAATCAACAGAAAAAAAACAGAAAAAAAAGGAGTGCGCACATGGGAGAGCGCTGCGTTTTTCCACTTGCGCGCGTAATGCGATGGCTTGTATATGAGGAGGACACTTTGGAATGCGGAGATAAAATCAAGAGTCTATAGAGGAGAGAGAGAGAGAAAGAGGAGAAAAAAAGAAAACAGACCGCGACCACAGAGTCGGGCTCCTCCCCGCCACGGCCGTGACACCTCCGGCGGATCACTGCGTACAGAAGAGGATGACAGCGTTTTATTTCCTGTTTGTTTTGGGTTTCTTTTACGCAGCGCTCTAACGCTGCCACTCATCTTTCTCCCAGGCACGCACTGACTGACTGACTGCATGGCTTCAGAAAGTTACCGGGATAATAACATGGACATCTGACGTGCGCCCTCGCAGCGTCATTGGACCACATTAAGCCCCCCTCTCTCCATCACGTCTCGGACTAATCTGCACTCTTTTCCTGCGTTTGGAGCGAAGGCTTGAGCAGTTGTCACTTTGGCCCTGACACAGGCTACACCCAGAAAGCGCAGAGGGGGGGTTTGACACTGTACGGCGCCACAGGAGACACCAAGTGTTGTTCTTCGTATTCTTTGCTTTCTGCGCTTGTCTCACTTATTTCTACATCTCAGGAGGGGGGAGACATATTCTGTCTGGATCCCCCCCTCACCACCCAGCTACAAATAAAGCGCCTTTGATTTAGTAACTTTAGGTTTCCTTCAACCTGCGCAAGTGTCACCTCATCTGTCCCCACCAGTGAACGATAATTTCCTCTTTACTTGCGCATGTTTTCTCTTTTCCATTCCTGTAACCTTGATAGATCCTCTAAAGGGAAACGGGTCCACATGTGACCGCGACCAGGTCACCTGTCCCGGTTAAGGCATCCCCCCCTCTACATCCCCATATTTGACTCCACACTGAGGCGGAATAGACTATCCAAGTTTTTGGTGTAGTGATGCTGCAAGTGGAAATGATCCTCTTCATCTGCCTGATGCTGCTGATGTGTGTTCTAAGCCAGGAGCCCGGATCCAAAGTGGTGGCCGACCGCTACGCCGTCTTCTGGAACCGGACCAACACCAAGTAAGTGCTGGAGCAGCGCACGGAGCAGGCAGATGTGTTCCTCCTTCCCTCGCTTTGCTCTGAATGAAACATCAGGCTTTATTCGGCACAGTCGGATTCTCTTGGTGCGGATCGGACAGATAGGAAAAGACATCTAACAGATGGCAAACTGCATGAGGGCTGTGCGTTTTTGCGAGACGCGCGGCACCGTAAGGAGAGAACCGTAAATAAATATGAGTTTGCGTCGCTTTCCTTTCTACCAGTGTTCCCCCAGATCCGCTGCAGCATTATCAGCTCTGATCAATCAACTCATTTATATAGATCCTATTTTCTTAGTTTGATTACATTATTTTAAACTTTCGGCTGCACTTAAAACGAAGGCCTTTCGGCGTAAAAAGCTTTATCAAGTCTATTCAAGTCAAACTGCATAGGCTGAGACAGGAACAAAAAAGTGATTAATCTCTAATAGTACTCTCATAGTATTGTTTGTTACATTTAATTCTTATTAAAATCTAAACAAACAAGTCCAAATATTTAGTTTTATTTCTTAGAAAAACTTTAAAAAGTTCCTTTTAGGCAAAAAAACAAACAAACAAAAAAAACAACAACCCTAAAATAGTCCCGTACAATTGTTTTACTGTAAAGATCTTTTAAGAAGGAAAGGCAAAATCAGATTAGAATAATTGTTTTTATTCAGATAATTACATAGTTTCTATTTTTTTCCCTCTTTCTTTTTTAAACTGTGCAGAACAATTGTGTGCCTTATCAGTAATTACTTTGAATCACCCTCATGCTGTGGAAAATTAAACCTTTTTTTACACACAAAAAATAAGTAAGAAAATAATAAAAGTTAAAATGGATCTCTGTTAAGAAGAGTCAAGTTATAGTCCAAGCAAACAATTACATATACTAAATCTCTCTTGCCCCAAAAGGTTCTAATGTTTTCCTAAAAAATAAACTTTTAAAAAGTTATTTGGCACATGTTGCAGAAGAGCAGAATATTAAAGAAAAATACATATTAATTAAAAATAAGACAATTGTTTGATGCAAATTAACACTTTTAACTTGAAGTTCAGAAAGGTCTTCAAAGATTGTTTAATCTGACCTGCCTTTTCAAAAAGTTTGTCAGATGTGAAACCTTGTTTCTCCCTCTGGTTCAAGCTTGAGTAAACTGCTTGTCCAGACAGCATTTCCTTCCAAAAGTCCCTCATAGAGCACACTGTACAGCCTTGTCCTCTGCTTATTAACTCTGATCGCCGCCTGGCAGAGTTTACCAAGACCTTTAATTCAACAGCCACCAGCACTTAGTGTTTTATTTGTTGACTAAAATAAACCTCCTACTGTGCATAGTCATTAATGGCACACGCTAAATTTGTTGAGCAACTATTACATTGAGATTAAAGTAAAAAAAAAAAAACACTATTTATTGCTTGAAATCGGTTGCAGAGAGTAAAAAGGAAGAGGCGACTCTGTGTGCCCTCGGCTTGAGTCGGGGTCAGTCAGAGCTGGGTGTGTAGATTCCCAGCCTGATAAACCGTTGAGCATGACTGGTGTGGTCTGGGTGCCTATACGCAGACTTGCCCTGACTGTTTGTTAATGGAAGTAAATACACTACTGAGTTAGATCTTGATGCCTACTATTGATAGGCACACATTATCTGGGCTGTGCTATTTTTTTAACTCAAAAAAACAGAATTTTGAGTTGAGGGGCTGCTTAGTTACCTTAAAACCTTCCACATGTGCCAACATTTTTCCCACTTGCTATGGAAGAGAAAAAAATGGGAGAATTCAATAAATTGCTGTTAATCTCAGATGTGACCCATTAACGGCTCTGATCTATATGCTCTGTTTTCTTTGAACTCCAGTAAAACCTGAGTAATAGATAGTTTCCTGAGCCTCATCTGTTTCTCAGATTGAAATTCGCCTGAGGAAAAAAAAAAACAGGTTTTCTAGGAGGCTGCAGCTCTGTAAAATTCAGTCCGTACTACTTTACTCTAAGTGGAGTTTGTTTTCCTCTGAACCCTGTAGCGGCTCAGGAGCCAGGGAGATAACTTTAAAGCACAGAGCGAGAAAGTTGGTGAACTTATCGTATTGATGTGCGAGTTAATAAATATGGAGTCCCTCTCCAGCTGCATTACTGTAGAAAATTGGTACAGACCTGGAACTTGGCTGTGTCTCTTTTTCTTTCACTCGGGGTGAATGGTCTCATTGAGAGCATTGCTGATTCGGATTCATGGAAACAAACAAACACACTGAGCGAGATCCACATGATACACATGATGGTAGAAAATATCTAATCATGGGATTTGTTAGGAAGATATTAGCAGATGACTCAATTTATGTTTTATTCTAACAATACTCTTTGCAAATGTACCATATGCACCTGGAGCTTGTTCTTTTTCATCTTAAAGCTTTGGAATATTTTTCACTCTACAATTGTGAAATTAATATAATCATTCAGGCTAAATATTAGAGTTAATTTTAGCTTTCTAATAAAAGAATAAACTTTACAGGTGCACCAATAAGGCTTTTTGCGACCTAGATAGATTTCCATTGAATTAAAAGCTGAAATAGGTAGTTTGATTTTTTTTTTACAGTTTTGTTTTATTCAGTGTTTTATTTAACATTATTCCAATTAAAAATGGCACCAAAAACCCAGAGGACAATAGGCTTTGCATTAAGTGGTTTCAAACTCAACTGAAAGTAAAGTAAATGTTTTTTTTTTATATCTTGGTTGTTTTATAGTTAAAACAAGCTTAGAAGTTCTTATAGACTGAGAATCAGCATTTTTAGTTTTGATGCATTTAATGAAATGAAATATACAAACTAAACATGTTTTCTTGTTACTTATCTGATCAGATCCAGTCAAGGGAAAATCCACCAATGCCCTTCTCTGGTTTTAGGCGTATTGTTGTAAAATCCTTCTTGTATAATCTGTTGCACCTAAATTGGATTCTTCACATTTACATCATTTCTAAAAGATGCACAATTTTTTGTGTTTCTTGTCAGAAACCAATTTCTGGTATTCTCTGAGGCACGATGTGCTGATTCAGTTATGTTTAAGGAAACATAATGGAAAAGAGAAGTGAGCAGTTACGACTCTTTGATAGATGTAGTAGTTTTAAATCAAACAGACGTAATTGCAAATATCTCCATTTAAACTTGGCCTCTACATTTATCAGATTTTTCTTTTAACAAGCTCAAAAGACTACATCAAACTAAATGCTGCTGGTTTATTTGATTATAGACTGAGAATGCTGAAAGTGTGTGGTTTAGATGCATTTGCTAAACATGGAGGAAATTCTTTGCCAGTCAAGGACAAAGTTGAATGGTCCATCAATACATCAGTCGTTGCTCACTCATTCCTCTTTAATGAACAGAAGGAAATCCCAATGCAGAATCTTGAATAGTTAATAAAACTTTGTCATGTGTACACTAAATGTGTAATTAGGAGTTTAAAGCATTACGTGGGGACTACAGGAGCGTACACACTATCTGTCCATTAAAATGGTTGAGTGAGTTTGTTTTGGATATAGACAAGAGAATAAACCATGGAGGGGAGTGAAGATGGCAGTTTCTTTTAATTTTGTTCTTACCTCTGATATGGAAAATACAGCTGAAATTGAAAACGGCACAAAAATTACATTAAAAAGCTTTGTTTAGTGTTTAAAGGGTTTTAATTATTGTTTTTTATAATAATAAAAAATATTGAATGATATAAAGTATAAGTTTGGGTTGAAGTTATTTGTGCAGGCAGTGCCCCAGCGGCTGTTTCTGCTTTGCGTTTCTGTGTCGGTAATCTTGACTGAGGCTGAGGTGGAGTTGCTTGCTGTGTTGGTGGCTTTAGTCCAACATTGTGTTTCACAACTACAGCGTGGGACCAGGATCTCACAAACTGTTATACTGAATAATACCCTAGTTTTCTGTCTCCTTGGCACACATGCTTTCCTTTCCTTTTCTGTTCTTTTCTTTTTTTGTGAAGAAAAAACAAGTTTAATATATAAAAAAAAACCCTGCTTGTTAAGAGTCATATAAATTCTACTGAAAACTCGGTGTAAAGAAAAAAGCAAACATTTAATTTGTCTTTAATCTCATGCATTTAGACTAAGAGTAAGGAAATAGGTGGAATTATCTTTATGTTTCGGTTGTGATTGTAAAAAGATGCCACTTTCTTTTTCCTCTTCTTCCTCCACTCCTTTCTGCTGTGTTGCCCTGTAGCTCTTAGCGGTTTTCTCTGTCGTTCTCTCCCCTCTTTCTTCCCTTGCATGCCTCCATCCCTTGCCAGGCACAAAGAAAAAAAAAGTACAATTAGACATTTTCAGAGGACCTCCACACTTAAATCGTAGGGAAAAAAGCTCAGAGGTCATACTCACTCTCAGTAAGAGAGGTCATGCTCATATGGGCAAGAAGTAACGAAGCAGAAAGTTGGCTTGTGAATGTGAAAGTAGCAACTAATAACTCTCCTTGAAGCGCACGGTGTTATAAGCCGATGGATGGAGGTTTTTTTAAGCATATTTTGCAAGGTGATTCGTATTTTGCTGCAGAATATGGCTGTAAAAGCTGCTTCACCTTTTTCACTATACGTAGTGTATTCTTACAGTCACGTCTGCTTTGTCTTCATCTGTGCATGTATTTTGGGTATAAGCGTGACTGTGCATTTAAAGTAATTCTGAGTCATGGGTCTAACTGGGCATAAACCGTTGAGCATTCAAAGATACAAATAGATACTCATATTTTTTGTTTTTGTATTTGTCATAAAAAAAAAAATAAAAAAAAAATCTGCAAAGGTCAGTCTAGAAACTATGTGGGTGTTGATTTACAGTATTACGATTCCGAAAAGTAATGGTTAGAAAACTGCTTAAATTGCTGGAATCTTGAGAGTTTCTTGGCCAATTGAGGAGGAGTTACAGAAGGACATTGTTCTATCTGTAAAAAAATTCTCATGCTGCATAATATCAGGAAGAAATGTAATTTTAATTATTTAAAATGCATCTGATGAGTATAATAAAAAGTAATATTTTT